TTGGGCTGTTGGGCACCCAAAGACCCCTTCTCAGGTCAACAATCGTTTAGAGTATTATTTGTATATATTATTTGATTTATTACTTTTGGTTATTTTTAACGTTGTTTGGTTTAATAAAAGGGCTGCTGTGGCCTATCACAGTCCGGCAGAGTGGTGTGGGGGCAGCGCTGTCACAGGTGGCTGGGCTCTACTCCTTGCACCGCTTGCTCAGCCTCCTGTGACAGTGTGTGACAGAGGAGAGCGGTACAAACACTCAGCGATCAGTGGTCGCTGAGTGTTTGTAGATAATTGAGGACAGAGTATGGTTACTATATCCTCAATTATGAATGAATGGGAAGTGATCTTCATCACCTCCTGTTCATTCATAGTTGTGGTTATAGTAAACATACTCTGTCCTCATGTTATCAATGAACAGGAACACTCATAGAGGATTCCTGTTCATTGATAACAGGGGCTGCAGAATAAGAGATTGAGGACTTTGTGCCCTCAATCTATTTTTCTATTTTAAAAGGGAAATATCAGGGGTCTGTTCAGACCCCCAATACTTCCCTGAAACACCTAAAAGTAAAGTAAAAAATACAAATATTTAATTAAAAAATGAATTAATAAATAAAAATAAATATAAAAAAATTAAAATGTTTATAAAAAATAAATAAAAATAAAATATTGGAAAAATTTGAAAAAATTTAAATAAAATTTTTTTCGGTTTTGGCCTGACAATTTTTTTTATTTCGGTTTCGGGTTTTAATTTTCTATTTCGGTGCACCTCTACTTCCTACCCTACATTAGATTTTTATTATTGTGTGTCTTGTTTATACCTTCTACAGCGGATTGAAAAATAATAGGTTACAAAATAGCTTGGTGTCAATTAAGGTGAAAGCGGTGTGGCTTTAGGTATGTTTATACAGCTCTCACGTGAGATCATTGCATAATCTTTTTTTTACTTTTTTCAATACGTGTGGGCAAGGCTTCCCTGGATTGAGGGCTTGAGCTGCAGTTATAATTGTATTCCAAAGTATTGTCCATGACATCAGCTATAGACTGACTGAGAACGAGGACTGCACTACAAATCCTAATGTAAAAGGTAAGATGTAGACCAGAATTATGGCCTTTAGTTTGTATTAGGGATGTACCAATACTGATACTAGTATCAGTATCGGTGCCAAGTATTTGGGTGAGTACTTGTACTCTCCCAAATGCTCCCATGCTGTCAGGGTTGTACTGCTGGCCCGTGGGTGGAACCCCTTGGCAGGGACAAAGAGTCCAAAAACGAAGTACAGAGGGAAAATCCAAAAGCGTAGTCAGGTCCAAGTCCAGGTTGAGGCAGGCAGCGAGGTTCAGAAGCGAGAAGGCAGGCCGAAGTGTCGATAACGGGGGTTCAGGCAAGGGTTCAGGAAGCAACAGGTTTACACACAGGGAGCTGGTGATCACACCATAGAGGTAGAATAACTCAGCAATCAGCCAAGGCTCTGTCTGGTTTAAATACACAGGGAACCCAAGGACCACACCCTGGTTGCCGAGGCGACCAGGAAGCTTCCCTAACCAGGAGCCAATAGCAGCACCCCTGGTTCCCTGACAGATGCCTAGCCCAATACCTGAGCTTCCGGTATCATGAAGCCCAGCAGCGAGTCATTACACGCTGCCCGGCTTCCTGATTGGCCGGGAAGCCGGCTTCAATGCTCCCTTGTCACTTGTGATGAGGGAGCATAGAGCCAACTTCCCAGCCAATCAGGAAGCCGTGCACGTGTAATGACTCGCTGCCTAGCTTCCTGATTGGTGAGGGAGTTAGCCAATCAGCAAGCCAGATGGCGAGTCATTACCCACCCCCACGCTTTCTGATTGGCTAGAAAGCCGGCTCCATGCTGCCTCATCACTTGGTGACAAGGGAGCATAGAGCCGGCTTCCCTGCCAATCAGGAAGCCGGGTGCCGTGTATTGACTCATTGACTCATTGCCCGGCTTTCTGATTGGCCAGCTTCTCAACCAATCAGGAAGCGAGGGAGCATGGAGACAGCTTCCCTTCTAATCGGGAAGCCGGGTGGTGAGTCTTTAAACAGCGCCTGGCTTCGCGGCTAATCAGGAAGCTGGGTGTGGAGTCATTACACGCTGCCTGGCTTCCTTAATGGGACTTCCAGTATCGGTACTTGGTATCGGCGAGTACCGCAAAATAAATATCGGTACTCGTACTAGGGTTGCCACCTTTTCTTCAAGCGAAACCCGAACACTCTAGCAACGCACGGACATTTTTTTGGGAGAATTAGTCGTAGCTTATTCATATGTAAATAGTGTCACCCATTCATAAGTAAATATCACAGTTGAGACTATTTTCAGTGCGGGGCCAGTATCTCCTATCTTAATTTTGGTTGCCACTGTCTGCCTGACATTTTGTGTCCGGGTTTCTGCTGCCATGAAACCCGAACACAGCATTCAAAACCCGGACTGTCCGGGTCCTGGACAGGTGGCAACCCTAACTCGTACTCGATACTGAAAAACCTGTATCGGTGCATCCCTAGTTTGTATGGGCTTCAAATTCTTGTTAGAGGTTTATCTGAGGAGCACACTTCTTGGTGAGATCTTTTGAAAGTTAAAGGTCCCATTGTGTTCCTCAGATAAACCCCTCACAATGATTGTAACACTTTACATATATGTATCTAAATGCCATCATTCTGGTCTGTTAGTTAGCTATCTTCTGATCCCACTGCTTTTTCTTCAATGAAGATGGTTAGCCCGAGCTGAGGAGATATCATCAAGTATGTTAGATTCCCTGGGAGGTCAGTCTACCACCACGGAGTGAGATGGAGCTTAACCGATGATTCGTTGTTTGTCTGTTTACACTTTACCCTGATACCTCTGGATGAAATTTATAGTTTGTATCTGTTTTTATTGTTAAATACTTCACTATTGCAAGCTTTTCATTTCCTTAGGGCTTTTTCACACGTGCGTTTACACCCCCTTCCTGTCCCTGCCATTTTTCAGTGTTCAGCGCTGCGGTACTTTGACTGACATTTATTCCGTCATGCAACGCTGTACTGAAATTAATTTTATACCATTTTTTGTGGACAGTTAGAACTTTCTTTTGGTGGTATTTCATCACCACTGAGTGTTTTTTATTTTTTACTACATTAAGGGAAAATGTAGATTTATTATAGAGTGCCAACAATATGAGTATTTGCACTGTTTTGATTTGGTATCTAAACCCAAGCTTTTCTTTTCCTTTACAGTGTATTTCCACTTTTGTAGTCAAATTTAGGAAAACCCCTTCATATGTTCAATATGTGTACCTATTCACACAGCATACTGAAAAATAACTTTAAAAAAATATTCTTATCTTTGAGATGTTTTGCTAAATCAGGCAAGTTAGCTGATTCCAGGTTTTTCTCAGCCCTGTCCCAGCGGTTTGTCCCAATGGAAAGTCATGGGACTGAAATTTGAGGATTGTGTAAGGAAGCTGGGTGTGGAGTCATTACACGCTGCCTGGCTTCCTTAATGGGACTTCCAGTATCGGTACTTGGTATCGGCGAGTACCGCAAAATAAATATCGGTACTCGTACTAGGGTTGCCACCTTTTCTTCAAGCGAAACCCGAACACTCTAGCAACGCACGGACATTTTTTTGGGAGAATTAGTCGTAGCTTATTCATATGTAAATAGTGTCACCCATTCATAAGTAAATATCACAGTTGAGACTATTTTCAGTGCGGGGCCAGTATCTCCTATCTTAATTTTGGTTGCCACTGTCTGCCTGACATTTTGTGTCCGGGTTTCTGCTGCCATGAAACCCGAACACAGCATTCAAAACCCGGACTGTCCGGGTCCTGGACAGGTGGCAACCCTAACTCGTACTCGATACTGAAAAACCTGTATCGGTGCATCCCTAGTTTGTATGGGCTTCAAATTCTTGTTAGAGGTTTATCTGAGGAGCACACTTCTTGGTGAGATCTTTTGAAAGTTAAAGGTCCCATTGTGTTCCTCAGATAAACCCCTCACAATGATTGTAACACTTTACATATATGTATCTAAATGCCATCATTCTGGTCTGTTAGTTAGCTATCTTCTGATCCCACTGCTTTTTCTTCAATGAAGATGGTTAGCCCGAGCTGAGGAGATATCATCAAGTATGTTAGATTCCCTGGGAGGTCAGTCTACCACCACGGAGTGAGATGGAGCTTAACCGATGATTCGTTGTTTGTCTGTTTACACTTTACCCTGATACCTCTGGATGAAATTTATAGTTTGTATCTGTTTTTATTGTTAAATACTTCACTATTGCAAGCTTTTCATTTCCTTAGGGCTTTTTCACACGTGCGTTTACACCCCCTTCCTGTCCCTGCCATTTTTCAGTGTTCAGCGCTGCGGTACTTTGACTGACATTTATTCCGTCATGCAACGCTGTACTGAAATTAATTTTATACCATTTTTTGTGGACAGTTAGAACTTTCTTTTGGTGGTATTTCATCACCACTGAGTGTTTTTTATTTTTTACTACATTAAGGGAAAATGTAGATTTATTATAGAGTGCCAACAATATGAGTATTTGCACTGTTTTGATTTGGTATCTAAACCCAAGCTTTTCTTTTCCTTTACAGTGTATTTCCACTTTTGTAGTCAAATTTAGGAAAACCCCTTCATATGTTCAATATGTGTACCTATTCACACAGCATACTGAAAAATAACTTTAAAAAAATATTCTTATCTTTGAGATGTTTTGCTAAATCAGGCAAGTTAGCTGATTCCAGGTTTTTCTCAGCCCTGTCCCAGCGGTTTGTCCCAATGGAAAGTCATGGGACTGAAATTTGAGGATTGTGTTTATTTAATAAGCTGCATTAACATACAATGGTTCAGTCACCTCTGAATGGATGAGACCCCTAAACGTGTCCGCTATTGTAGCTCATCTCCCAAATATCTCTGACTTCCTTACTTGGCTTTATTTTTGTTTAGTTCAGTTTCTAATTTTTCTCTAATTTATACATTTCTATCTTTGTCTCCAGGTTTTGATGCAGACATGTACTTCAATGATCTAGTTACAGTTGTCCTCTCCGTTGTCACCTTTTTTCTGGCAATTTTTTTATTCGGTCAGAAGAAAAAAGTTCATCCAAATTATCCTCCTGGACCACCATGTTTGCCTATCATTGGAAATATGCACCTTATTAATGTGAACAAACCTTACTTAACGTTTCACAAGGTAAGATCTTGGACTTTCAAAGGCGTGGGTAAAGTGTATGTAAATGGATTCCTGCTCATTAATGAAGTTTTTGTAATAAGGAATAATTATAATATTACTTAGTCTAGTTGTGAACTGTTGGGTATTGTTGGGAAATCTCACTCATGGAGTCTCTGAGAATTCTACGAAAACCAGCTTCCCAGGCAATTATACTTATGAGCACTGACACATTGGGAGGTCATGAGTACCCTCATACCTAGTAACCCAGATAGCAAGAATAACTTGCCACAAACTTGTGTTAGGGTTAAATTGTAATTCTTGCTAACATGCTGCACACATTCCTGGCAAGTTGTAGACTTGCAGAACAATCGCAGCACAAGTTCTAGTTGACAATTTTTGAATTTGTAGCAAATTTGCTTGGCAAGTCTACAGCAAGAGTACTGCAGGTATTAGCAAGAGCTTTGCAAGCTCGCTGGTCTGGAGACTTGCAATGCAGACTTGCTGTAATTGTGCAACAAAATTGTGAAGCTTGGCAAGTCTGCAATAGTTTAGCAAGTCATTTTCAAACTCGCAGCACAATTTCTTGCTATCTGGGTAACCTCACTCTGTTAGTGAGGGCTCAAGCAGTGGTTGTAGGTGGTGTGGGATTATGGCTCAAGTTGTCCTAAATTATCCTCCTAAACCTGGATATGTAGACTCTAGGCCTGCTCTGACTCCATCTGTTTATTACCCAATACCCATTAGACCAGGGGTGCCCACAATTTTTGTGTTAAGATCTACTTTTCAAATGACGAGCTACATGAGATCTACCAATGAAAAAAAACCTCCCTCGCTCTCTCTCTCTCCTGGCTGTTCTCCTCGTTCTCATGGCTGTCTCTCCTCTCTCTCCTGGCTGTCTTTCCTCGTTTTCTCTCCTGGCTGTCTCTCTTAGTTTTCTTGGCTGTCTCTCCTTGCTCTCTCCCCTGGCTATCTCTCCTCGCGCTCTCTCCCCTGGCTGTCTCTCCCTGCTCTCTCTCCTGGCTCACCTTGCTGTATGTTGCAAACAGTGCAGTGCAACAGGCTGTGTAAACTAATATTCTTTGATGTAATACATAGCACTTCAACCCCCAGTATCCACCAGAAAGGTGTCAGGGAGCTTGGCTCAGCAGACTCAGGCTAATAGGTAATCATGTGTGCACAGCTAAATAAATATACCAAAATGGAATAAAGGGGCCGCCATTCACTCCCTTCGTGATCTAACAGCATCAGCTTTGAGAGCTACTGGTAGATCACCATCTACCTATTTAAAAAATTAAAGCGGAACTGTGAAGCTACTCCGAAAAACACCACCACCATAAGCACCCCCACCAACACCCGCAAGTAATATATAAAAATACAAGTAACAATTATATCCCGGAGACAACAGGGCAAACCCTGGGGAGCAGGACAACAAGGGGGGAGCCACTGATCAAGAGACCTCAGGGGTAAGGGTCAGGAGTCAGGTCATGGTCAGGGTACAAGGCAGGAACAGGATACAGTATACAGGCTATGGAAACAATACTGAAGCACAGGCCTCCTGCAAGGAGAGGCTAAATACCTCCCCAGACCAGCACCAGGTGGTGACTAATTGATGGGAGACACTCACAGGTGAGCACCGGAACTGCAGGTTCCAGCACCACAGTGCCACCCAGAGGTACTGACTGGAGGCACCTGCAGCTGTGCACTGGAACTTCAGGTTCTGGTTTCAGCGCCACAGTGCCATCTGGAGGGGCTCCGGTCCCTGACAGGAACCAGACCCACCAATGTCTCCCAAAACAGATACTTTCAAAGCATGCCAACTATCAAGGTTGGTAGTGTGCTTCTTTCAGCTCTGCACCGAATGTTCAAGCCCTCAAATGGCTGGTGTCATAGCTGATCACATATGCAACACCATGGAAGATGGCACCTTCCTTGGCTGTAAGGGATAAGAGTTTGCAGTTCAGCTCAAAATTCATAGATGAGAACAGTTTTAACCGCAAAATGAATTGCTGTTTTGTTTGGCCATCTTAGACTGAGTTTGCACAACACTGCCCCACAACACTGTTTAGCAGGAGGAGGGACCTGATCTTTCCGTGCTGCCAATTAATTTTTAATACAGGTCTTCTCCCCAGCCCCACCCTGTAACTGGACACTTAAAGGAGAACTATGAGGCGAGTGAAAATCACTCAGCCTCATAGTTCTAACCGACCTGTGACAATGAAACTGTCACAGGTCTGCTCAATAGAGTGGGAAGTGAGCGAACACATACTGTTGCTCGCTCACTTCTCGATCCTGTCTCGATCCTGTCTCTGTAGAGAGCAGTGACTGTCACTCACGGCTCCCTGCAGGGATTCCCCCCCTCCCCTGTCAGATCCTCAAGCGCTGACTGGTTCGGACAGTGGCTGTAGCTCGCGATATACTGAGCTTTGGGTGACGGGAGGACGCTGGTTTGTTTCCCTCCATTCTTGTTCCTTCTCCAAGCTAGTAGATGGAGCTCCCACTGTCCCTTGTGATCTCTTACCGGACAGGAAATTGAGGGAAGCAGAGCTGAGAGAGTTGGAGCTGTTTGAAAACATGTGCGGAAAATGTAAAGAAATACTTTGCTGGGCGATGTGTATTTGGCCTGGATTCATTTTAATTTGTGTTTTTGATTATTGCTTAGAGTTCACTTAAGTGGAAAAATGTCCTGAACCACACAATTCCCCTCTCAGTCACCGAACAATTCTGCAACTCAGCTATAAATATTTGTACTTTGTGTACTTTTGTACTTTTGTACCTTAGGACCCGTTACTTCACAAATAAGAGTTTTTTGTGCAATCACGCTTTTTTCTTTTTTTTAAAGCACGATAATGCTGATGCCAGTTCACATTGAATACATTGAATTCAGTCCAAATGTGAGGGGTATCAGAGGACACGCACGGATTAACTGATTCTACCTCTTCCCCTATTGTAGAGAACTACTAGGAATACTTCTTTAATCCTCAGGTTCTTCGTAGATTGTCGACTCCACCACAGACATACTCAGTCTGAGTGAAGTCTGTTGGCAGAAAAACATTTCCTAAGGCAGCGGGTAAACTAATCACAGTGGTGGACTCTCAGCTTGATAATTGTGGAATAGTAGTGTCAGGCAGTTAACTGAAATATACTGTCAGCTTCTATGAGCACAGTGTGATCAACAGTCGTACTTTTAGGGGAACTTACTACCGTATTATTGGCAGGGCCGGATTTCCCACAAGGCCTCCGAGGCCCGGCCTCGGGGCAGCAGGGAGTAGAGGGGCAGCAGGGGTGTGGAATTCCTATCTAATTATTGGCTTAACTGGCTTAGCAAGTCTTTGGTGTAGCCTGTGGACACCTGACATGAATATCCTTGTTCCATGGCAGCGATGTACCAAGTAGTGAATGAAGGATAGAGAATAACAGTTCAGGAGTTCCCACATTCTAAAAAAAAGTCAGCTATTGCAGATACTTGACATATATCAAAGAAGGTTCCTTTTTGTATGGTATAACTCAGAATACATACAGAACTTGCCATCATAGTATGGTCTGCTGGTGACTGCTGGTAGTTTAGAGAAGGGTTAGTGTATCGTACCACATGCCGTGTCCTGGGGGCCAAGCTGCAGCCTTCATATCTGCAACATTGCTCTTACTTGCCCAGTCCAGAAGGGAGTGTTGACAGGTCCATCTTCAGCCACTGGTAGAATTACACCATAGCATGGTTTGAGTGGTAGAGCCCTGCATGGGGCTTCTTATCTACTTATCCATAGGTAGGACCCAATCAGCATCTCTGCTATAGACAATGTCTGGCTGATTGAACTCCAGCCTAAAGTTGCCTGCATAGTTTCAGTGCTAACATTGTATGGCAGATCTAGTGATGGGACCAGTAGAGTGTCTCTTCTCATCTTATCCCTCAGGAAAGTAACCACCAATATCAATGGTTTTGCTTCAGCTGTCTTCTTCTTGCTGACCAGCAATATAAGGCGGCATTTTTTCTCAAACTGACTGTTGGAGGGCCTTTTGTCTTCAACTGAGGGCCAGTTTACAATGTCATTGGCCACTGATGTAAGGGAACACTGCTCAGCTGACCACCAATTGACAGTGACTCTAAACTCAGGATTTAAAGCTTAATAATGCATTCAAGTACCGTAACTATTGTCAAAAATGTATCTTATTTGTGTATCACTCGGCTGTAGATCATCAAATCATCCCTGAATTGGTGCTGACACTGTCCTTCCTTCTGGAGGGGGGCTACTTTTGTTCCCTATGGTCCTTGTGTGTGCTGTAAAGTAGTCAGCGCTTCAAGCTCACTCCCTGGATGGACTACAATCTCAATACAAATTAGTAAACTAAACCTGAGATTGTAGACCCTCACGGGAGTGAGGTTGGAGCGGTGACTACTTTACAACACACACAGGGACCATGGGGAACAAAAGTAGCCCCCCTCCAGAAGGAAAGACAGTGTCAGCACCAATTCAGAGATGATTGGAGCATCTACAGCCGAGTGATACACAAATAAGATACATTGTTGTTAACCATTGTTTTTTTTTCCAGCTTGCTGAGAAATATGGTTCAGTGTACAGTGTACAGATAGGACTTGAGAAGATGGTTGTGCTGTGTGGCTATGAGACGGTGAAAGACGCACTGCTAAACCAAGCCGAGAAGTTTTCTGGAAGACCACATGTGCCCGTTTTTATGGACATAACCAAAGGACATGGTATATATACATGTTTTTATGTATCCTACATACATTGTGACTAATATAATATACAAAGAACTATAGCACATACACACTAGTCATACAAACAGATTGTAGGGTGTGTTGGCAGCGGTTTGATCTCCATCGGTCCAACATGCTTCATGAACGGAGTAACAATCAGTAGGGCCTACATTTCCTAAACAGCTTTTGAGTGGAACGCTGTACTGGGCATTTTAACTCTTGCTAATGGTACAATTAAAAAAGACATCTCTCACTCCCCTCATCACCTACATTTTTTGATTCGCATTACACCCAAACCTTTTTGGCCAGCGCTACTTCAAAACACAGGGGTGTCTTAATAAGCTTCCATAAATCCGCCCATTTCATATGTGACAAAGAAATTGCAGACCCAGCGGGAAGATATCTAATTTTAGTCCTGCCTTAGACAAATCATCCTCTAATCCCTCTCCCTCATCCCCATCTACATCACTACGTAATCTTCTCACTCAATACTCCCTAACTGATGTATGGCGCGAACTGCACCCCACTACCAGTGACTATACCTTCTTCTCCCCCCCCTCCCCCCACAATTCGTTCTCCAGGATCGATCATATTTTCACATCACCTTGAGAGACTCTACAACGACGCAGTTTCACAATTTCAACACCACCCTTCTCCACACAATAGACTTCATATGGACAACGCCAAAAGGGACCTCAACTTACTCCTCACTTATTCTGCCGATAAACAACTTTGCCACACCCAACACAGTTACTATATGAAAGCAAATAAGCAAAACACCATGCTTGCTACTCGATTCCGGCACTCTGACCCACGCCATAAACCCTAAACGACATCCGGCAACATCACATCCAAACCCTCCCTTATCTTGCAAGAGTTCGAAAAACACCTTACTCACCTGTATAATGCTGAAAATACCTTCTCCACCCCTCAAGCTGATAATTTATATCCCCGATCACGAACGAGGAAGTTCAACAATCTATCAAATCCCTTAATGGTTTCTCCCCTCTATACTACCGAACGTTCTCCGATATCCTCATCCCTCCCTTGACTGCCTCCTTTAACGCCCTCAGATCAGGCCAACCCTTGGGCCGCGATTCCTTATCAGCCACTGTGTGCAATGTGCCAAAACCACAAACTGATTCCACTCACTGGAATAATTATAGACCAATTTCCCTACTAAACATAGACGGTAAACTCTTGGCTAAGATCCTTGCGAACAGGCTCAATACTGGTATTGGTCAACTAATCCACAAAGACCAATTGGGCTTCATTCCCTCCTGACAAGCTGTAGATAACATTCGCAGAGCCACTCTTATCACCCACATTGCTAAAAAACTGAAAATTCACCTGATGTTCCTGTCTCTGGACATCAAAAAAGCCTTTGATTCTCTCTCCTGGCCCTTTCTTTTCTATATCTTACATAAATGGGGGTTCGGTCCAAATTTTACGCAATGGGTTTCATCTCTTTACACTAATCCAACGGCCACCGTGAAATATGCAGGCTTTAAATCAAATCCCTTCTCCATAGGCCAAGGCACGAGGCAGGGATGTCCCTTGTCTCCCCTGCTCTTTGCCTTAGCTATTGAACCACTAGCCCAACTAATCCGTGACTGTGACGGACCGCCTGGTACCCCGACTGGGTACCTCCATCAGAAATCAGCTTCCTCTCCGCTGGAACCCGAATTCCAGTGTCCTCAGCCCAAACCTGCCTAAATATTGGACAGAACTAATATATTAGGACAGAACGCTAACCTCCTCAATCTTCAGACAACACCAATGTTAAGGTGGAAACCAAGAACTGCTTTATTGAGGAAGAGCACACAGAGTTTATACCTCACAAGATCAGACAAGCATTCATTGTTACATGGAACAGTCCCCTCCCCCAGACAGCTAGGTGCCGCATGAGATTGTCTAATTAGAGAAGAGCTTAATCCCATCACTGTAAACAATGGCCCCTCCAGACAGCCTGCTGCCTTTACTGAACACAGTGGTGTGTGTCTGTAATGGCGGGGGAAACATGCAGTATACCCATTCCGCACATATCCTAGGAGAATGGTTCCATGTAACCCCAAGAGATCTGAGGGGGGTCTCCATAGTCCTAGATCCATAACCCGTAGAAAGGAGGCTAGCCCTCCGGTTCAGTCCGTCACATTTCTCCCCTCCCAACAGTAAACTAACCAGGTACCAGACCACCAACTGGTCTGGACCTGTGTTAGTCGGGCAAGATAAATTCAAACGCTCTTCCAACTGGTCCGCTTGACTCTCCTGCAGGAGAGTGATGCCACCCACATCATCTCCTGGGTAAACACACTGCCACTGGGGAACGAGAACGCTGACCTCCCCTCCCTGGAACTCCGGATGCCACTGTGGAGAAGTGTCGGGTGCACTCTCTCCTGGGAACATTTTCACCTGTTGGGAAGAAATGACAGCTGTACCTTCTCCCTGATGCTCCATCTGCTGCTGGAAGGAGAGGTCAGCTACCTCCTCTCCCTGGGACTCACTCTGCCACTGGGGAGAGAGGTCGGCTACCTCCTTTCCCTGGAACTCCGTCTGCCACTGGGGAGAGAGGTCGGCTACCTCCTTTCAAATATTTTCCAAATTAAATCTTCTAGTCAACTGTTTGTGTAAATCACAAGGTGATAATCTAAAAAAACTCCAAATGACTAATAAAGTAGCAAACGTCCTGTGTCAGTGTAATATTGATTCTGATACTCGATTTTATTTGTTTTTATGTGAGTGTATTTTTTTAAATAAAATCTTTTTATGCATACGGGGTGCGCTATGATTTCCACTTCTGTCTTTGAGAGATCTTTTTGAGATGAAGTTGTGCTGTCGGTAGAGGAGAAAAACGTTAAGATCAGGATTGGTCTCATCTGAAGGAAGGAAGATCACAGCTTCAAATAGTGTGGGTGAAAGAGTTTTACCCTATAAGAAGCGTTTTGAGACCCAAGGGTCTGAACACGGAGGTGAGAGGCTTATTTATCAGAGCACTGGTGTTTTTTATGAGCACTTCAGCAAAAAATACACACAAGAAATTACAAGAGTGGGCAGTGACGCACAAAGAAAGACTAAGACAAAAAAAATTTATTTATTATTTTTATTTTTTTTGGACACTTTTTTCAATTATGTGTTTCATTCACTAAATAGTTCACTATAATATTTGGTTTTTGCACATATATGTTTACTTGTTGGGTGATAGCGCCGCTTCACATGTTTGAGTAATGTAACTATAAAGTCTTATTCCGCTCAGGCCCGGATTTCCCACAAAGCCACAGAGGCTCCGCCCACCGGCTCCGTAGTGTGCGGCCGCCGGCCAACCACGGCGCAGCGGGCCTCAACTCCTCCCCCCAGCTGTCAGATGTAGGGCGCGAGGTAGGAATCCACCGG